GAGAATGATGAGGGCAACGAATGTACAAATATGCTTTACACAATTGATGTATGTATGGATTGTGATGAGTTGTATGAGCCCCTAATAAAATGATTAAAAGAAAATGTTTAGCCGGCCAAAGGGGTTACACATTTATGTTAACATTTATAAAAGCGATGGGGGTGGCCAGGTTCCATAAAGCAGGGCCCTCCACCAGAGCCGCACAGCCTCCGTGGAGCAGAGGTACGGTCAGGGTGGGCTCCCAAGGCATCATGAGGCAGGGAAAGAACAGTCACGTCACTTTAGGACCTGATGGGCGGAGGCCACCCCCCAGATCCAGTCCCTCAGGTCCCTGCCCAGACCCCACTTCCTCTAGCGGGCTGGACATTCCTCAGGGAGATCAACACCAGAAGATGGCATTCTTCTCTTCCTGCCTCAGGCTAAGAGCTGAAACAGGGATTAGCAGTCTCTTCTCAAAGGCTCCCCTCTCCCGGGACACCAGGAGTGCTAATGACAGAGACACGCTCCTGGTTCCCCCTCAAGGGAGGAATGTGAGTGGCAGACATCTCTCTCCACGTGAACAGAGCCAGGCGGACCCACGGCAGGAGACAAGGGGGCTGGCTGACAAGGGGGACAGGGGACAAAAGACCTCATAGACAGGGAACATGCCCTCCTGTAAAGCAGACTCGGGGGCTGGGAAGCCAAGTCCGTAAATGGGAACGCAGCCCACAGTGCCCTCCGCGTGTCAGGGGGACGGCTGCAGAGGACCGTGAGGATGAGGGAGCGTGGGGAGACACGGCTCGCTTAACCCGGAAGTAATTCCAAAGGCAGGAAGAGGTTACTCAAAGACACAGGAGCTTCAGTGTTCCCTCAGCCTTATCTGAAGTGAACGCCAGGACCCCCGAAGCTGCTGATAAAGAGGCCCCGCGCCCTCGTGTAGCAGGAGAGATCTCAGGGACAGAGCCACCAAGAAGCTTACAGGTACAGAGACTCTCTGACTGAGAGAGAGCTGGGCCTCACCACACAGACGCCAAGATTCTCCAGGGAGCTCAGCCAGCCCATCACTAAACAACCGCCCCACCCAGCCCAGAACTCAAAGCACAGCCCTCCTCACCTGTCCCTAGCTTCCCGGAAAACAACTTCTAAGAAAGTCGTCCAGTTTTAAAATGTGGATGGCTTGCCCTATCTCAGGTGCCTCTAAAACTCAGGGTTCCTGGCAGCTGCAACTCTACCCATCCTGAGACACGGGCACCCACAGTCTTCTCTGCACCCAACTGCGGCCAAACTCAGACACCGGGTTTTGGGTTTTCAAACAGGAAAGATGTGTTTCTACGGTGGAGCGATTGTGGCTCTGCCTGCCTGGCTGCCTTCCTGCCTGACCCCCAATGTGAGGGAGACCTCTCGCTGCTGCCCTCCACCCGCCTGCCACCACGATGTCGATCACCCTCTGAAGTGCCACATGCTGACCAGCTGTTTGCTTTTCATCTTCTTAATGAACTGTCTGGTCTAATTAATCAGAGTGCCAATGAGAAAAAATAAGGGGCCAGGTAGGAGAATAAAAATCTAAGGTCAGTAAAACCAGTAAATTTCAGAATTAAGTCTAAAAACCCCTGTGCTGAGCAGAATGCCCCCCCCCCCACCTCCAACACTGTCCTCAGAAGCAACCAGACCGGACTCTCCTCTTTCTCCCAAGAAGCTGCTGGTGGGTTTGAACTGCCAGCCTTGTCAACAGCCCAACATTTAAACCACTGTGCCACCAGGGCACCTTTTCTCACTTCACGTATCTTTGTATTCATCCGTGCTGCCCCATGCCCCCACTGTTTGTGACTTTGAGATTGCTGAATAGTGAGTACCCCCCTGTGGACATGCCACTGTGTACTTTGGCTATTCACTAGTTGGGAATCATTTGGTTGTTTCCAGTTTTAGGCAGTTATGAGTCAATGTTCTATAAACATCCCTTTTAAAGAAATAATAAAAAGAGATGATGCAGAGATTCTAGGGAGACCAAGGCAGCTAACAGTTCACAAGCAGAAGATGCGAAAGAGAGGTGAACACCCTGGGATGCGCACAGGAAATTGACCGCCAAGAGGCAGAAAGGGACTGGAGGGGCCGCACTCAAGCTCTGAGGGCCCTGGAATTCCACACTGCTCTGGTCCCACCTAATAAATCTCAATAGCAAGACCCCTGTGGCAGTTGGGTTTACTGTGTAAACTAGGCATCTGTAGGAACGTGTGGAGAGTTTAATCAGGTCGAAGTTGATCGGAGGGCTACCAAGATAAATGCTTTCTAAGGGCAGCCTCCCATCTCTTCTCTCTGATGATCAGACCAGCGTGCTGCTGCTTGACATCGTCCTTTGCCTCAACTGTGTGTTGCACTCCCCGTGGGCTGAGCCAACCTGTGGATCAAATGTCGGTACATGCAACACTAGAGCTTGAGGTGCCAGGCTCAGGAGCTGATTGTTGGGGCCCTACCCTGCCATCTGCTTGTCTTGCCTGCGGGGAACATTCCAATGTCTGCTTCCTTGATCTTGGACCTAAGTCCTTGTGAGATGAAGAACCTTCAGTATATTAACTGTTACACAAAATTGAGTTGAACTGAGCCCTTTGTACTGCTGTGTAGACTAATTAGCTGTTATATTACTATATAAACCTTATTACTATATAAACCTATCCATATATATATATAAAATCATTAAGTGTCCTGGTTTGTTTCCCTAGAAAACCCTAACACAACCTCAAAGGGTTAAACTATTTCTAAATAGCTGTCTACATCCCAGAGCAGGGCTCCAGACAATCTCTAGGAATATAGAAGTGGATAGGACCACACATGGAAACAATTTGTCCAGTGGACTGATAGACCATGCGAGCATTAATCTCCACGTCATCCCTGAGGTAAGAACTAGCTGGTGCCCAGCTACCACTACCACCTGCTCAGAAATGGATCGATCACATTAGGTGGTCTTGGATGGAGTGGGAGGAAATTGTGGAGCAAAGGTCAAAATCATAGGAGACCGGTGGACTGGTCAGCTAGACTAGAAGCCCAGAGACTATGGCCTTGAGCAACTCTTCAAGTCTGAAGCGGAACGCACCACCGTCTCTCAATTTTCAGTGAAATGATACAACCGTCCGTAGGGTGAATATAACAGTAGGAAAGTGTGCACCTCTGAGAATCAACCATTTGAGATCCAAAGGGCAGCACTGACCGGGGACAAAGCTCAGAAGGGTTAGGAAAGACGGAGGGATGGAGACAGGAAGGCCTGGGAGAAAGAGAGCTAAGTGATGGTCCATTGAGGGACTGCAATCAATGAGAAGAAACAGATGTGTGTGGATTGTTGAATGTACAACTGATGATCTCTCTGTGAACATCCAATTCACAATAAAATGCGTGTGTACACAGAGACACACATCGAGTTCAACACACATGCACACAGTAGTGCCGGCAAGGTCAAATGCATGTCTGATTTCCAAAATACTGCCAGGGAGAGAACAAGAAGCGAAAAAGCCCGCCAAGCAAGACTCAAATGAGAACAGCCACCAACCAAAAGGGAGCCCGCTGACAGAGGCGACACCGGCAGGCCCTGGCAGAGCAGTACCGGCATGACCCACATGCTCCCCCAGTTAAGCAGACATGGAAGGTATTTCAAATTCAAGCCATAAACTGGGCTGCTGGGCTGATGCTAATGCGTCTCTCCTCCCCCCAAGAAAAGACTTGTACACTTGAAGCTCCCACAATAGAGCCAACAGAGAGAAACAGAATGAAAAAAATATAATATAAAATCAGGAGTGTCAGACAACGTCACGTGCCCTGATACATACGGCCGGGTGGAGGCAAGGGACTTGTGTGTGTGTGTGTGTGTGTGTGTGTGTGGGTGGGTGGTGGTGGGGGAGGGAGGGTTGTCATCCAAAGAATGTGATGGCTGAAAATCTCCCAAAATTCACATGAAAACTATAAACCCACAGATCCCAAAAGCTCAGTGAACACTAAGAAGAGTAGGCCCTGTCACATCAAAATCGCTTTGTGAGAGCTGCTGATAAAACACAGTCAAAGAGCTAGCCAGCAGGAGAGATTTAGGTCTAAAATTCCATCCACAGCACAAACACCTTTCAAAAATCACGACTTTTCAGAAATACAAAAGCTAAAAGAACTTATCGCTACCAGGCCCATGCTACAAAAAAATTAAAAAGATGAACTTCAGAGAGACAAACAGAGAGATGGGAGTGTGGCTCTGCACAAAGATGGGCTAGGAGTGGGGATGGGGTCTGAGTGTTGAAGATAACAGAGGGTGGAGCAGTCGCAGGTGAGGAGCAAGAAGCGGAAGAGGGTGGGCCATGCCCTCAGGAGCTTTCAGTACAGAATTCTGCCTCTGGAGGATCTTTTCTCATGAAGCATATCTATGTTATGTTTTGGAGGTCACTGTTCAGAGACTGGTTTCTTGTGGAGGGAGGTCAGATGTTTACAACCTCCCTGAAGGCAATGCTGCCAGATGGCTGTCTCGTCCCACCACAGGGGTGGGCCTGCTCCCTGCTGCTGGAGACAATGGGTTACTTCTCCCTAAAGTTTGCGACCATTAGCTTGGTTCCTATAGGTGGAGTTCCCACCCTACTGATAATGGTTCATATGGAGATCCAGAGAACAGTCATAGTTAAGCTGCCATCCTGACTCTAGGATCCGCCCATCTTGTCACATGTATACCCCCAATTCCTCCTCTTCCTATTGTGTGTATATCCGGAGACCACCCCCTCATGGCTGTACTACCTATAGTGCAACCCCTTCCTGTGACGTATGTCTTTACCTGTAATTAGTGGGCTTCCACGCCCCCAAAAGGGTATATAGGCCTGGGTTAGCAATAGAGATCTCTCTCGCTGGTCTCTCCCTCGCCTCTCTTCCCCCTCTCCCGTCCTCGCTCCCTTGTTCCCTTTCCCGTCCTCGCTCCCTTGTTCCCTTTCCTGTCCTCCTTCCCTTCCCCCTCTCCACATGGACCACCAAGCGGGGCTGAGTTGAGCAATGCTACCATGTAATGAGTCTGACTGCATTATTATGCTATCTCTTCTATCGCTCATGCTCTCGATGACTTTAGTATAATATTTATATATCTCAACCGTACAATTGTGATTACTGAACCTGTGCGTCATGGTGGGGAGGTGGCCCCCACACCCTAATACTACAGTTTCTCATCAAGCGATTCGAAATCCTTTCAGGAATCATGTATTAATATGAGGGCTGGAATCTGGGAATCAAGTCAGACTGGTCAAAACCACCTGAGGTAGCCGTGAAATAATAAATAGCAACTTCTCCTTCGGCAATCGCGATCCCTCAAGCAGCCAAGGACTTCTGAGGCATTCAGAGCCAACAGGAGGCGTGGAAACTCAGGAATAAGCATTGCCTTCCCTACAGGCCTGCTGGAAAGCAACCGGGCCTGCTCCGGAAGGGGAAGTGCAACGTGCGGGCGAGCTGAGCAGGTCTGGAGCGGGGCTAAGCGCAGCCTCCCAGGGACCAGCCCTACTTCACGGACCAGACAGCCCATGAAACGGCTGAGGGCCCTTTTGCCCTTAATGCCGGCCCACTCAGACACTGCAACTTCCAACTTGTAAGATGGGAGAGGTCTGGTGGGGTAATTTGGTCCCTTTGTGGCAGAGATTTTTTTTAAATCATAGACTTTTAAAAATAGAAGAAAACAAAGGTAAAACTGTATAGACAAAAGAAAGCCTGAACAGGTGGAGTGTCCTGCAGGGAGGAAGTTGAACTTGGCCTCGGCTCTTTCCCGAGGGTGCCCTCCCCACCCATGCACCCCTGGACCCTGGGCGGGCGGCGTCCACTCACGCAGCGTGCTTCTGGTGCAGGGGCGTCTTGTCCCGGTGTAGGGGTGTGGTGACCACCACCTTCTGGCTGCACACAGGGGTAGACGTCAGGGAGGGGCTCTCCAGCTCCAGCGTGTCCTGTTTGGTCCAGAAGTTCAGAAACTGCCAGAAAAAGGACACAAGGCCAACAATGAGTACCTTTTTACCCCTGAAAAGGGGACAGTAGGCCGAATAGCTTTGGGAGTCTGTGGTCTCCAGCAGAGACGGGCGCTCCGGCGCACGGCGCTGGTCTGTTCCCAGGAGTCAGCCACCACGGAGGACCAGTGGCCCCTCCCCATGGGAGGCGGCGAAGCCCCTGTACTTAGCCAGGCATGGCAGCCAGCAGGTGCCTGGTGAGGGCTGGCATTTTTGGAGATTATACAGGTGGTGGATGGGAAAGCAGGTGGCTTTTCCAGCTGGTGCCAGTTCTTGCCACTGGCCCCTCAGGACTTTCCTCCCTGGGAGGGAGGGGAGAGGGCAGTGCTTCAGGGCTCGGGCTTGAGCTTAGGCATTGGGAGGAGGTTTGGGGACTGGGTGCAAGAAGCGAACCCTCTCTGAGCCTCAGTGTCCCTATCTGGAAGGGGACAGAAACAGAGCCTGCACCTCAGAGCAGGTAAGCGGGAGCAGGTACTGCTTAGTGTCCGGGTCAGCCCAGCTTGTGGCCTCACAGGTATGTCAAGAGCTGCTGCTGGCGCCCCTGGGAAGACTTTGTGCCTTTACACCGATGTCGGCACAAAGGAGGGTGGGAGCCGGCTGCCAGCCTGGCTGGAGCTAGGATTAGGGGACAATGACAAGTCCAGGTCTGCCCACACCCAGCTGGAGGGCCTCTGTCCCACCTGCCCCACCTCCTTGGGTCCCTAGGCTGGAAGAAGTCCTGGGAGTCAGAGCAAGTGTGTTGGAAACAAGGGCTCTGGGGCCCCCGACCCCCGACCTCAGACTGCACGCAGGTCATTCAGAGCCCCGCCCGGCAACTAAGAACGTTTGTAACCTATCCCATAATGCGGTGGGGGTGGGAGGGGTGGGGAGCGGAACCCTCTGCTTGTGCAGCCCCATGTGGGCCAAGGCAGTCTACCCCAGGGGGCAGGCACCATCCCCTTCAGAAAGCAAGGCTGAGTAACAGCTATATCTGCTTGGTTTTCTATGGATGAGGATCTCGGTGACTGGTTTTTGGAACTGTCGCCAGGCCTTTCCTCCGGGCAGCACCCACCTGGGAGGGGGAGAAGGGCAGGGTCTTGACAGGCGTGCTCTTGGGGGTGAGGCTGTTGCACGAGTCCAGAAAGGACAGGCTGGCACTGCTCTCGGTGACGGGGGACAGGGCGACACGCCTCTTCTTCTGCCGCTTGAGCACCGAGGGTGGCGTGCAGATGCCAGAGCCCCCGACCTCGGTGCTGGGGGAGATGGGGATCAGCTCTCCCCGGCTGCTCCGGCTCAGGTCGGAGATGGTGTGGCCGTCCAGGCGGTATTCGGTCACGCTGGACACCGGGACGCCCCGCTGGCCGGGCCCCGGGGTCTGCTGCTGGGGTTCCGGCTGCTCCGGGCTGATGCTAAGGCTGCCTTCCAAGGATGGCTCCTCGGGAAGGTCAAATTTACTCAGGTCACACCACGCATCGGGGTCCTGCCCAGAGAGGGGAGGAGGGGCAGCAGTTAGAGTAAATGAGGCCATATCGGTCACTCACTCCAGGAATGCCCCAGTGCTAGAACCAGCGGTGGAGACACTGCTGCCTCCCTACTTACTGGGCACTTCAGACAGGCTATGTGGTGCACATGGCAGCTTGGTCCACTACTCTACACCATGTTCCGTGCCGTATCAAAGCTACATAAAACACACTCGGAAAAAACAACCCCCCCCCAGCATCGAGTTGATGCCAACTCATAGCAACCCTATAGGACAGGGTGAGTTTCCGAGAGACTATAACTCTTAATGGGAATAGAAAGCTCCATTTTTCTACAAGGACCCGCTGGTGGTTTTGAACTGCTGACCTTGCAGTTAGCAGCCTAATGCGTAACCACTGCACCACCCACCAGCGCTCCTTATACAAGATGCACACACGCGCACACACAACAAATTGGACTGGAAACTCAGATCACCATGGAGAAGACCCCTAATGACACCTCCCTACAGCCCCCCATGCTCCCCACCCTGAGCGCACACACCTTCTCTCCCCACTGAGGCAGCATCGCCACCTGGGGATCGGGCACTTACTCACCACCCTGGCGTTTCTTTCATTTTCAGACCCAGCCAACTCACTGACTCACAGCAACCCTCAAGGACAAACAGCACAGCTGCTCCCTGTGGCCACATGGCTTTACAGGAGCAGAAAATCTCGTCTTTCTCTGAGTGGCTGATGGGTGTGACCCACGGTTAGCAGCCCAATTGGGAACTCACTGTCTCCGGGCTCCTTTTCACTTATCCAACTCAGAACTCATTGCCAGGTGGATGCCAACACAGAGCACGCGTCGGTGGCACTGGGTTACGAGTTGGACTGCTGTGGCAGTTACATCATCTCCTGCCAACTAGAGCGAAGGGGTAGCCTCGCCTGTCAATCAGGTCACAGCCTGGTGGAAACCCTCCTAGTGGGCGTGCCCTTCTCCTGAGGCTTCTGGGAACTCCCGTCTTCCTCCCTGGAGGTGGGACACACACTCTCTCCGCTGCACATTCCTGTGGACAAGCCACATGGAGCTACGCTGATGGCAACCAGAGGCCTGAATCTGGAGGAGCCACGTGGAGACCCACGCCAGCGCTGAGATGCTTCCACCACTGTTAGATCCACAAGACTTTCCACCCACTGGCCTGGGATCTTCCTGCATTTGGCATCATTGCATGTGTTGCGGGAGTCTGAAGAGGAATTCATACACTGGAAAGGACAGATGGGCTAATGTCGGACTTCGGGACTTGATCTGGACAGGGCTGAGATGTTTGCTTTCTCAATATATAATTTGCTCTTTGACATAAAGCCCTCTCTTATATACACGAGTGTCAATGAATTTGTTTCTCTAGTCTACCTGGACTAAAACAGCTGCTAACTACAAGGTCAGGAGTTCAAACCACCAGCTGGCTAGCAGGAGACAGATGAGGGGGGCTCTGTGCTCCTGTAAAGATTATTAGCCTTGGAAATCCATGGGATCAGTTCTACTCTGCGCTACAAGATCAATGTGTTATCATTTATATCTGTCCCTAAATGACACTGGGAAGGCTTTGGTGGCACAATGGTTAAGCGCTCTGCTGCTAACTGAGAGGCATGGTCTTTCCTCCCAACCAGTGATGGAGGAAGGAGGCCCGTCTGACTCCTGCCCCTGGCCCTTATCAGCTGCGTGACTTTCAATAAGTCTCCTCACCTCTGAAGCCGCTGCAGCCAAGAACCCTGTGTAACAGGTCTCTTGCCCTGCAGGGTGGCTATAGGTCCCCATCGACTCGAGGGCACCTGACACAACAAGGGCACAGCACTTTAACCCCTATACTCATATCATTTCACATAATACAGTCTAACCCTTATATGTGTGTAAATCATTCCTGTGTCCTGTTCTGCCCGATTTAAAATTCCTGTAAAACAGGAACAGCAGTAATACTGTTACCAGAGTTACATATTGCTAACTAACCTTAGGCCGTACGTAACCTCTCTGGTCTGGACTCCCTCACTGGCAAAGAGAGCCCATCACCTGTTGCACATCACCTGCTCCTGGAATGTGGCCGCTGTTCGGAGGCTAACTGAGAGCACATGTGAACCAGGCATACCGTAGGCACTCAGCATCAGAGGATGCAACTCCTCACACATTATGCCTGGCAAGTAGTGGGTGTGCCATAGTGAGCTCCCTCTGGGCCCATCAGGTGGTGGGAAACACAGAATTGGCTGAGCTAGGGAGGGGCCACCTCCCTCAGGAAGTCTTCCCACCTACCCCGAGCTGCCCAGCATCAGTGCGTGCCTGCCTGAACACTCCCGCTGCTGGCCACGCTGGGAGGTCCTTTAGACCAGGGGCCTCCAGGCCATCTGCTTGGTGTCCCCAGCTCGTGCTCAGGGCCAGGCAGAGCCTTCCCTAAGCGATGGTGGCAGGCTGGGAAGGACACATGCCACGAGGGAAGCCTGCCCACGCGAACCACCGTGCCATTACCGACTCGATTAAGTCCAGGGCTTCGGAGAGGCTGGACGAGCCCACGACCGGGCTGAGCAGATTGGTGGCCTCCACCACCCACTTGAAGGGCAAGCTTATTCCAGGTGGAAAGCTCTCCTCCCTGGGCTCCGGCGTCTGCACTCTGTCCAGCTCCTCAGGGATGGAGTCCAGGTCCTGGGATGTGGCCGGTGCCAGGGCCTCCTCCTCACTGCTGTCCTCTTCCTTGACGCCAGGGGGTGCTGGGAGCCAGCTGCTCACAAGACTGCCCTATGGGAATACCAGGGTACACAGGCTGGAATTTTCTTAGGAGATATCAGGACTTCGAACCCGCTTCATTCTGGTTCGACCCTTGTTCAGAAATTGCTTTTGCCACCCCAGGTATACCGCATCAGAATCAACAAGGCCAGCGGGCCCTCAGGGGGATCTCATAGAGCTAGGGTAGCATCCTGTTAATATGCCCATTCTGATTCTGAGTAGCCTGGGTGGAAATGCAAAATTCTCAGCAGGGGATCAAACCAGAAAGGACCAGTTCAAAGCCCTAAGAGATTAAAAAAACAACAACAAACAAGCCAAAGTCTTTCAAAAGGCCATTCTGACCCCCTGGAGGCCCTCCAGGGCAGGGGACAATTGCCCTGTGGGTTTAATTGCCCCCATGGGTTTCTAAGACTGAAACTCCTTCTGGGAGCAGAAAGCCTCAGTCTTTCTCTGTGAGAGTGGCTGGTGGTTTCAAACTGCCAATCTGGCGATTAGCAGCCCATCTCATAACCACTACGCCACCCGGGCTCCTGCCCCTAAACTACTCCTGTACAGTTGGGTACCGTTGACAAGCGGATCTCACACAGATGCCAGGCACACAGACACTGAATAGCTGCTGTGAAACAGGCACAGAGTGAGGAGTAGGTGCCACCGTCGCCGGTTATCGGGTGACTCTCAAAAGCAATGCTCACACAGACAGGCCGAGCCGCCCTGGGCAGCCTCTCACCTGGCCGTCGGTGGAGACGACACTGGGCTGGCCGTCCTTGTCCTCCAGCTCCAGCAGCAGGTACACAGGGGGCTTGCAGTCTTTGGAATCATTCAGGAAGCCCCCCGTCTCCACCTTCCTTTTGATGGTAGAGTTCCAGTGGTTCTTCACAGCATTGTCAGTCCTACGGGGACAAACGGAGCACCTCACAACCCCAGCTCGGCAGCCAGTCTGCCACCAGGCAAGCTACAAGCCCCCCCCCTGCTTTAGGTTGGGCATCAACAAGGAAGCAGAGGCAAGGGAAGACAGACCACCGCGCAAGAGTACCTCCACCAAGGATAGCGCTGCAGAGACGGACCCTTCCCGCCTCCCCCCGAGCCGAGAGGGAAATCCTTCCCCCTCTAGACCAGGTGCCCTGAACCCAGACATCTGGTCTCCTTACTGAGAAAAAGCACTTGGTTCATGGCAACCCCCTCTGCTAGTCTGTTCCAGCAGCGTCACATAACGAAGACGTGGGTCAGTGACAAAAAATTAAGAGCTGCTGGATTGAAATAAACTGGGTAGATGAAATGCAAACCACTTTTAATTCCGGGAAAAAGAAATGTGACACAGGAAAGAGAATTCCAATTCCCGATGATTCAGTGATCCTCACACGCGCGTTACACTAACACGGTAATCACGTAAACACGGCCGCTTTCGTTGGGAATGACCGCGCTCGACAAGGAAAGAAAGGGGCCCTGGTGGCACCGTGCAGACGTGCCAGGCTGCTAAGCACGAGGTCGGCATTTGGACAACACCGGCCGATTGGGGGCTTGCTCTTTCCCGCGAGCCCTGACGCGATGTGGTGATACTGAGGGCTGTGAGCGGCATGGTTGGCAGCTGGAACCTACTAGCAGCTCTGCTGCGAGGAAAAGACTGGGCTTTCTACTCCCACACAGTTAGACTCGGAAACCGGCGGGTGTTGCTAAGAGTCAGCGTGGACTAGATCACAGGGCTTCTGGGTGGTTGGTTGGTAGTATCGGAAACCCAGAGGGGCAGTTCTACCCTGTCTGGTAGGGTCACCATGCGTCAGCATCGCCCCAGTAGCAGTGAGCTTGTGAGGGAAAGTCTGTATGATTAGGGCCCGTGGACAAGTGTGGGGGTGGGCAGGAGGCTCTTCCACTGGAGCAGACAGACATTAAGACAGCACACACGGACAGACAGAGGCACCAGAGAACCGCCAGCAAAGATGGAAGTCGCAGTGTCGGCCCAGAGATTGGAGTCTGGGGACCGGGTCTGGTGTTCTTCACGAGAACTCTTTCAGCGAGTTATTCTACGACTGATTTCTATCCTTTTCAGTTCCTTAACGAAAGCCCCCTCCCAACGCCCCCAGCTATTTACATCAGCCCCGGGGAGAGGCGGCAGTCCAAAGAGGAAGGGGCTGGCAAGGCCTGTCTTCTCACAGGAGTGAAACTGGGGCCTTCTGGCAGAACTCCTGCCCACCCACCCTAGCACCCTGGGTGCATGACTCTGGTGGCCTCCAGAGTTGAAGGGGGCGGTTAGGCAGAGGATAAGGGCATCCCACCAGGCCCCACCCGGCTTTCCGTCCCCCACTGCACCCCCTCACCTGCCCGGCAGCATCTTGGCAATCTCGGCCCAGCGGTTGCCCAGCACCTTGTGGGCCTCACAGATGATGCGGTCCTCCTCCTCGGTCCAGCAGGACTTCTTCACCTCGGGGTTGAGGTGGTTGTGCCAGCGCTCGCGGCACTGCTTGCCCAGCCGGCCCTTCAGGTGCTTGGCGATCAGCGTCCACTGCTTGGTGCCGTACTTCTTGACCAGCTCGATGACCTTAGAGCAACGCCGCAGGGACATCAGTGGGACTGGGCCCTCCCTCACCCACTCAACCAAGCTCCTTCCCATCCAAGCCAGAGCCTCCTCCAGGCCACAGCCCGCCCCACCCCCTAGGGAATGCAGAAGCCCTGGGTGCTCCAAGGAAGGTGGCTCAGCAGGGAGCTGAGGTCACCTACCCCAGAACCTGCGCACATCAGGACCAGTCACTGCCCTGAAGGAAGGCCGGCCAAGAGGGTCAGAGTAGAAGACCAGCCGCTGGAGTGTCCACCCACCCAGCACTTAGAGGCAACAGGGAGAGGAAGGATCCCGCCCACTCACTGAGTCCACACTCACAACACCCAAGGCCACCCTGCCGGCCCCCTCAGCCATGTCCAGGGCTGCCACAGGGCCCTCTAGCACTGGTGCACAAGCAGCTTAGGGAGCTGAGGAGGGCTGATTCCAGACCACCAACACGGAGACACACACACTCGTGCGTATGCGCGTGCAGGCGCTCACTTTGGGGAGTGTGAACAATCTAGGGGGGAAAGGATTCTGCTCAGATAATTTAGTGCATTTCTATATGGTTTCAA